TGTGGAGGCGCATGGGCGTGGCAAACAGCAGCTGCTCCAATTTTGCATAGAAATTCATTGGACCAGTTTTTTCCCGCTTTATATAACATGTAAGTAAATGTATATGTAAATATATACGTTTAGTATATAAGTTAATGAATATATTTCAGTTTACATAGAGCAATGAGAGGGGAGGATGGATTTTACAGGGTATGCATGTATTTATAGCTTTATATATTTCATTACAATTAAGCAGCGTCTTTTTCTACTTGATCTGTTTGCATCTCAACTTCCAGCAAGGATTCTTTAAACACTTGGAACCTGCCAACCTGCTTGCATTAAAAAGACCTTTCAATTGGCTTAGGTATGTTCTAATCGTTCTCATAGTTTGAAGCTATTAATGATTTTATATTTTATTTTTAGGCCTATAAATGCCTTGCTATCACTCGATCATATCCTTAAGGATCTCACAAGGAGTAGGAGCATTTTTTGTTTGTGGCTAGCAAAGACTCGGCTGTAAATTGTTTCGTGCCAACTCAAACTGCTGAAATGTACCTGATCCGCTAGTCCAGTGGTAGGATTGGGCCAAGCTATGGATAAAAAAGAGGGTGGTCAAAAATCTGCAACAAATTTGGTTTCTCAGTATGCGAGGCAACTGAAACTAACGGAAATTGTCCAGAAATACCAGGCGAACAGAAATCACAAATTTACGAAATACAAATTTTATTTTATATCCAGCAGGGGCAACATCGTCAAATAAAATAGCTTTTTATTTATTTGAATAGTTTTATTTATTGCACAAATAGTAAACGTACATTAGAGAATCCATAAATCCGAACGAGTCATCATTCGTCCTACCAGTTCAAGGTTTGTCTGCCCTTTCAATGTTCTGAAAAGAGCAGTAATTAAAAGTAATTAAAATAAATTATGCTTGCTCAATAAGGAATTAAGTAATTATTGCTCAGCCTAAAAGCAGGCTGCTATTAAAAACAAGTTATAATTTTAACTCAGAGTAAAAGTATGCTACACTATAATTTATATCAAAATTTATCGAAGACACAAACCATTGTAGTTTGTTGTAGCGCCACCTATTGTAATAAAGTTTAACTAATTGTGCAGTTTAATAAATACAACACTAGAGTATGCAACATTTTCTTAATAAGTCTGACAATGTTTTAGTTCAGCATTTAAAGTGGCGCAACCTTTCGTTAAGCTCTTAAAACAAGTGTTTGACAACTTTAGCCACCTATGCAAATTAACCGAATATGGTACACAACTTAAAGCTGGCTGCTACGAACCTAGATATACGGCAATCGCGATTAGCTGGCTTAAATGTTGAGCACGCATAAGTAAAACAGTTGACATTGATTAAGCTATTAATTGACCCGAGAGTTCAGACAGTCAGAAATCGACTATTAATAGCTATCATGCAAATTGCATGACTCTATGAGTTAGCGCTTTTAATTGTACGGAAACACATATATTTTCTTTAACTACTTTTAACAGGCACTTTGCAATTATGCAATTGGCTTTGGCCGTTTTGCATGTATCCGACAATTGGCAAGCGTGACTGCAACTGACTGACTGAGTGACCAACTGAATACGACTGGAGCCAAACAGTTGAAGATGTGTGTTATGTGTGTATCTATTTTTAATTGCCAACGCCCCAATGAGTGTGCAAATACTTCAAAATCAAAGCCAAATTAAATTTGCATGAATTATTGCTCGCTTAGCCAAATGGCAAGTGAATGCTTTGAAGAACCCGACTGACTGGCAAGAAGAAAACAAAGACTGGAGCGTTGAATTTCCTCATTGGCCACATATACAACGTCATGGCTACACAGATTGCGCAATCGATTGCCAAATGGTCAACGAACGCAGCAAAGAACCAGTTTGATCAACTGCAACTGCAACTGCAAGAGTCCACAAATCATATGATACACTATAGTCTGCTATGTCATAGGTGCATTTCCGTTTACCTTTAGGCGCCCGGGCGTCTCGCTGCCTTTTTAAATGAGGTGTGAGACGCGCGCGAGCGTTTTATGCAAATGCCTCAAGGGGACTGTCCCCATAATGTGGCCATAAGCGCATAATTCATGCAGTTGCTTTGTTATTGAATGAGACGTGATTTGAAATTCCTACGACATTTGAATTGTATGCGCCGGCAGGCTTGTGGCCAAAGTCTTTTATTGCCCCAACGATTGGGGTCGCGATGGAATTGCATTCGCTTGACCTTGAGCCAGCTGCAGCTATAGCTAAATGCGCAGCATCCAACACAATCTCATTGGCCTTTCAGGGAAGTTCAAGCTGGCTATCGTTGCGGAAGGTGGGCGAGCAATTAAATAACTGTAAACTGGTCAGCCATAAAAGTGCAGCAGCAAACCAAAACTAGATCGCGCTTGCCTTTGGTGCGTCTTGTCAACTGTGTGGAAGCGTAACAGGCGACAAAGTGGTTCGGCGGTCCAAAAAATCAGCATTTGCTTATTTAGCTGGCCAAGCAGGAAGCCAAGTGTCAATCGGAAGTAAAAGGTGCAGGCGCAATCGCAGTCTAAGGTGCAGGCACAAGGTGGCAAAGCCAAATATATTTAAGTGGTTCATTGGCATGCACATATGTTAATCAAATGCGCCCCGCCCCACTCTTGCTCTTTCTCTGTCCAAATAGCTGTCGCCCTGAGTTATTTGACTGGCAAACGCCCACGCAGCAATTGGACAATCTCTGCAATCTGTTGGTCATTCAAATCAGGTGGAGTGCAGGAAATGCATACCAAATCTTGCTCCAATTTCCCTGCCGGAACAGCACACACAGGCACCCTCTTAAGCACTTAACACATTGACTGATTACTGCTGTGATAAGACCAGCCTCTAGGCATTTCAAGTGCCTTGAATAAATATGAATACAATAATAATAGCTGCAATAACAATAAACAACAACAACAGCAACAGCAAATTAAACACAAATCGCCATCACACAATTTTGAAGTCGAAAAGTAAAAGTGGCTCAGTGGCTGCTGGCATCTAGTTTTATTATCGTCATCATCGTCAACGTTATATGCGTCGCCTGCCATAACACCTCACATGGCGAGCAGCTCACGTTGACTTTGACGCCGCAAAAGGAAGCCATGAATATGGCCAAGACTCGGTTCAGTTTGGCTCGCAAGGAAGCCATGATTCGAACTTCACTCTCGCATTGCCATGGGCAGTCCAATGCGCCGTCTATCTCTCTTGCCGCTATCTGCCCGTCGCATTACGCATTTCATTTGCACTGGGGTCCAGTTCCAGTTCCAGTTTCAGTTTCAGTTTCAGTTTTGCAGTCTGCGGCTTTTGGCTACTTCCTGAAACGCATGCTGCAGGGAGCCTCGACGAAGTTGCATTTATCTAACTTCAATGAATATTTATATGAGTTCAGTCTGCGTTTGGTGTGATGCAGCACTTCCTTATGGGCCAGCTGTCCAATGAACATTTAAAATTCCCTGACTATTAAAACTAAATCAACGTTTTACTTGTGCTATATATAAACCATTTATGAATTGCAAATTTCTATTGTCTGTAGGAAATTTGGTAGCTTTTAATTATTATTTTCTGCATATTTTGATTGATTGTGCTACTGTCCATTGTTTTGCACTTCTCACGTTTACTACACTTGTTATGCAATGTATTGATTTAAGTTTTGGACCAAGAGCTGCCCACTGGGCAACGGAAACACGCATGGGAAACGTGGAACTTGGACGCAGTCTCTGCCCATGCATCAAAAATAAGGCGAATTGTTTTTTTTTTAATATTGTTTTTAACTAAATAAACATGCAATTAACTTGGCTTTTGGAAATGTAGCGAACCATTTAAAGAGCGCCGAGCTTTTCAAATGGAATTCCGCATGTTTTTGAGTTCGAAGCAAAAGATGCAGGAAATAAAAGCGCCATCTAGCGGCATTTTTCTCTGCTTGTTTGCCAGGCATTGCCTCATTGTTGCACATGCAAAAATGCACACAGAGTGGACATTGCACATATTTTTAATATTACTGTTGTTATTTTGCTTAGACACCCATTTGGCCATTTGGCACGCAGCGCCAGCGACTGCCCTTAACCGAGTTAGAGCGCCAAGTATGGCTTATAAATTACATTAAAATCTACTAATTGATGCCCTGCGTGGTTGGGTTGGAGGGTGTTTGGGTTCCAGTACCAGGTGCGCCTCACGAACGTGACGGCCTTCGTGTCGTCATTATTGAAGAAGAATTTCCAAAAGCCAGCAACAGCTATAATAACAACAACAACAACAAATATTAAACGCATTACAAAAACCCCAAGCTAACCTAAGCAAAGATACACGCAACGTTGCCTTACAATTTGTTTTCGTTGATTTCCCATTTCGTGCTATTAATTTGCATTGCCCCAATGTTTTTGTTGCTTTTGTTGCTGTTGTTATTTTTGGCTTTTGTTTTTTATTAAGATTTATAACATTTATTGCAATAAGCTTGGCCTGGCGATTACAACATTTGGAGCAGCTTCTCTCTGTCTCCCTCTCTCTCCTTGGGTCTCCCTCGTATCTACAAACTGCGCTGCGCTGCTTGTCACGTCGCAGCACAAACAAATGCGAATGCGCAGCACAAAAGAGAAGAGCAAAATGCCGGCCTACGCGCGCTCATTCACTCACTCACTCTCTCCCTCTCTCTGTCTTGCTCTCGCTGCTTTACTCTCACTCTCCGGCGAGCTGAGCTAAGCTTTAGGTAGGCATCTGAAAAGCTCGCTGTGTCATTGTTTACACACAAAACCGTTATCAGAATTCAAGGTCTTCGGTTTCTGCTGGCGCCTCGCGCTCTCGTTTCTCGTTTTTGCTTTCGCTCTCATTTCATTTTCCTTTTCGGGTTCGGTTTCGTTTTCGCTAGGCGCCGGTGGCACCTGTGCGTCGTCTATTTAACCTGGCTCCCCAATCTTCAGTGCGACAGTCAGATCCACGAAAGTGGCCCAAAGAGTTGCGCGCGTTGCCCACCAAAGCGAGTGGAGCCCCCACATATCTACCACATACTTTTTTGTGCCCAAGTGAATTAGTGTTGAATTTTCGGCCGAGGGCCCTTAAAACCCCAAGCCAGCGTTAAGCGGGAGCCATGAGGATCCAGCGGCATTTTGTGGTAATTACCAAATGTGTCAACGAAGTGCAAAAAAAAAAAAAACAAAGACAGATAGTGCGAACTGCATGTGTTGTTGTTGTTGTTGTTGTTGTTGTAATTGTTATCTTGGCCTAGCCAACCAGGTGGAACTAATGGAATATAATTTTGTCAGTTTAATGCAGTTTCCCAAATAGATTGCGAACAGTTTGTTTACGAAACAGCGAGAAGATTGAGAAAACAGGGGCAGACAGACACCTGTATTAAAATAATAATTCAGATATGCTTCACATATCAGCGGAGTCAAGTATTGTTTGGAGTGTGTCTGCGCATCTGTATAGGAAATTGCCTGAGTGCATAGGCCATATATGAATTTTGAATCCATAATAGATCAATTTTAAACAAATTAAGAATTGGAAGAGGAGAAAAGCTGTTTTTCATAGTTAATTAGATATATTTTGAATATATAATTAATATGGTTATTTGACTTTGGATAAGATCGAAAGTGGAAAGTTGTTAGCCTTTATAGGGCACATAATATACGGATATATCATAAACATGATTGATTACTTTTCACCAGATGTCACATTCAATATTATTAACTAGTAAAAGCTATCGACATAAAACATATTTTTAGTGAAAGAATAAGGCATCCTTTAGCTGATCTCGAATGTGCTCAGTAATTCGCTGAAAAGCGTGTTTTACCTATTTTCATTAACGATTTTCCAGCTCTCTTTTTTCAGCTATTGTCACATGTCAATAGCACGACATTTGCCTCTGTTGTCCCTCTCTCTCTCTCTCTCTCTCTCTCTTTCTCTCTTGCTCTGTCTCCGTCTCTTTATCTTCAACTGTTTTTGGGGCCTTTCAATCGCATTGTCAACAATTAAAAGCGCACAAATATGCTGACTGCGAGATAGTTTCATTAGCGCTTGCCCATGAAATGCATTTGGAGTCAGACTCTTTTCCCTCACGATCGATGATCCAATGGCGGCCTAGCCAGTCCCCCTCAAGAGATGGCAGACGACTTTCACTAGCTAACTGCGGAAACTGCGACGCACTGCCATCAGCTAGCAGCAACAGCGACAGCAATAGCAACAGCAACCACAATTAGCACCCCCAGCGCCAGCAATGAGATAATTTTTTTGCTGGCGCTAATTTACATTTCATAATCGGATCGAAGTTGACATTCGTGCGCAAACTGATTGGGATTATGTGAATTGAAATTTGAGTGATTTGGTAGATTATGTGAAATACCCAGTCAAAGATGACAGCAAATTGACGCCAAATGCTTTGACCTCGCCAGCAACTGCAGCGAGCACCAAATTTAGAGATTTACACTTGCAACACTGGGGCGACGCCAACGCCAACGTCAAACGAAGCGGAGACAGCTCCAAAAGCGGCCATTATTTGCATAATGGCAAAAAACGAAATAAGTTTTGGGCCTTATAGAGAAAGAGGCACAGTCCTAAATAAAGTTACGGAGACACTCAGCAGCAGTGACCTGAAACTGGGTTACACTTTATCATTTCTAACTGGCATACTTTTTAGTCAACAAAAATGTATATGAAACTGACATAATATTTTACTCTTACTTATTGCCTCGCCGTCGCAGTCGCAGTCGCAGTCAATGGACTCTCAGTGCAAACATTGCGAATAATATTAAAAAACAAAATAAAACAGATTGGGATAAGCTGAGTCGGCAGCGCGCTGACCCAGTTAAAACTGGTTGTTGCGGTGCTTCAACGCTTCATATGAAGAATATTTAATTAATTACCATAATCGTTGCGAATTCATTTTGATCCCTAGACGGTCGCGTTCGTTGCCTAAGTCTTTTGTTTTGTTTTTGTGTGTTGACTAATAATAATGACTAATGAAATATGTTTTTTTCTCATGTTTTACTTACAGTTGGGTTTGCTCGGCGTGCTCTCTGTTGTCAGCAGGGGCAGCTATGCCAAAGCTGTCGGCGATCAACAGACAGCCGAGACCCAGGTGAGCAGCAAGAGCGTCGCTCAGCAGCGTATCGGCCACGACTTCGGCCTGGGTCTCGACCTCGGCATTGGCGAGCACGATGTGCACGAGGAGCACATACACGAGCACCACGAGCACCATGAGCATCACGATCCCGGCTATTGGAAGAAAAAAGTCACGTGGAAGGAGGGCTGGAAGAAGATATGGAATCCAGCCAAGAAGCAAATCTGGAATCCATCGTGGAAAAAGGTTAGTGAAGGCGCTTATCAAGGATGTACCTGAAGCTAACTCTAATTCTATTAAAGATCTATAAGCCGCACTGGGTTAAGGTTCCAGGCTGGAAAGAGATTCAAGTGCCCGCATGGAAACAAATATGGGTGAGTTGCATCGAGATTAATTTTGAATTTATCTTAAATCTTTGTTACTTTATTTTAGGTGCCGCATTGGAAAGAGATTTTAGTGCCCGCTTGGAAGGATATTCAGGTTCCCGACTGGAAGCAATACTGGACACCGGAACTAGTCAAGGTAAGGCTTAATCTTATATTCTCTACATTTTTACAAAAGAATATGCTAAATGCAATTTCTATAGGTTGGCATTCCCGGAGAGAAATATTTGGGTAAGGATCATGAGGGCTGGGAGTACACCAGCCACGATCTGTGGAAGAAGAGGGTTGTGTGGAAGTCACACTGGAAAAAGATCTGGAAGCCAGCCAAAAAGCAAATTTGGGTGCCAGAAAAGAAACTGGAATGGAAGGAGGCCTGGAAGCAGTACTGGAAGCCTGGCAAGAAGCAAATCTGGAACGACAAACTGGAGTGGAAAGAGGCATGGAAGCAAATCTGGGTGCCCGGCTGGAAGGAAATTTGGGTGCCTGGCTGGAAGAAAATCTGGAAACCCGTCGTAATATCCGAGTGGTTCCCCTCGCCCGATCACCATCACGAACACCATCATGACGTTGGCTGGGATTGGGATCGCAAAGACAAAGGTGCCACCAGTGAAAAGGACAAAGTCGTATGGAAACGCGATGACAGCAATGCGTCAGCCGCAAAGCCAACGCAACTGAAGCCAGTGGTCAGCGCTGACTTTCAAGCCAAGACGCTCGAGGCAGCCAAATCGCCAATTGCCGCAGCCGCAGCTGCCGCCGCAACTACGCAGTCATTCAAGTTTCCAGGCGCGTAGAGCGCCTATGAAAATATGATTATATATATAACATTTATAGAGACGTACAAATGTACAACACCCGCCCAGTTCCGAGCTCCTTGTAAATAGTTGCAAACCAGTCGCTAGCATGTAAGGCCCACTTTTTCTTTGGCGGACACTTAAATTATGTCTTAGACTTAAAGAGCGTTTAATTAACAAATAAATAAATAAATAAACCTTATACCTAGTGGTCGGTCAGTCTTGTGAGCCTAGGAGTAGGAGTCCAGCTCATTTTTGTCCTTCTGCTCCTTCCAGGCATCGGGCGCTGGGGCGTTGGGCAGCGGTATCCACTCTTTGAGTATGGTCGGTGTCCAGACCTTCTTCCACACGGGCTCATAAATGCGCTTGGCACGCCAGTACTTGACCCAGCGTGCGTTCCAAGTGGTCCTATTCGTCCAGAAGCCATCCAAGTGAGGCTCCACTGTGTCCGTATGACGTACACTACAAGCGACGAACAGGAAGTGTGCGTTCAGTATAGTGAAAGTCGTTTTGGACAAGCTATTGCACAACATCCTCTCAACACACTTACATGGTCGTCGTCTTGCCACCCACAGTGGAATCAATAGACATGAGGACGACGAGCAGCAGCGGAATAGCAAACAGACAAATCCGCCCACACTTCCGTCTGCATTGCTCTGTCGTCATCATCCTGTCAGCTGTGTGACACCTGCGCCTGTTCACTTCGCTGTCTCCCATTGTGGACCCATTCATGTTTCGCAATCGACTGACACTTTCTTAGACTTTTCTCTTAGAGTTAAATAGCTCGCAAGGCTTATTGAAATTCATGAAGCGCGCGCGCGCTTTTGAATGAATTGCAAATTCGCGTACTTTACACGAGCTGCGCGTGAAAATTGTTATAAAAAACGTACGGGATTATATAATACACACATTAAAGAGCATTAGTTTCGGATCGTTTGTTTTTTTTTTTTTTGTTTTTTTAATCGACTTTTTTGCTGCATTTCTTTTTATGCTTAAGGTAAAACTTGCAAATCAAATATCTGTGTGTGAGTGTGACAAAGCTTAACTAAGTAAATATATATGTGTATGAGCTATATATATATATAATCTAACAGATGTATCGTAAAGTAACTGTTACCCATAGTGAACATAATTTCGATCGAAGTTCTATTGTCTAAAGAGAACATGCAACATATAAAACTATATAGCTAAGCTTAGACATAACTTAATACCTAAGACATGCAACACATATATATTATATATAAATTTATATAGATAGATAAATCTTGATAGCAATCCTTTCATTCAATTCATTTAAAGCCTATGTTTACCGTTTCGAGTATGCGTTATATAGTTTCACTTTTGATTCTTTGTTACGAAGTAGCTAAGCACTATTTAGCAATTAATTAATTAATAATTATATATTTAGAAGGCGGTACAAATGTTTTTGCATAAAGTGCAGCAGTTAGTTTTGATCGATCGATATATATATAGATGTGTGTGTATAGAGTTTTGTAAACTATTCTTGAATTAAAAATTAATATGGCACAATTACGCGCATACAAAAACTTAAATGTCGTACAAGATGATAATGTTTTTTTTTTGTTTCATTTACAGCTAATTACAAGATACAAAGAAATAACATTTAAGTCACACAGATCGTACAGCTCAAAGAAGCATTCGAGATAGTGGGCCACAGTCACAGCCACAGCTGGTAACAAGTTGAGAGATCGGCTCAGAAGTCGAGATATAACCAATAGTTAAAGTTAGCTGTGACTTAGCCAAAATATATATTAAATATCTTTTGTTATTTGTCGTGTGTGTGTGTTTGAGTGTGTTTCATCGGATTCCGCTTTAGCGCCATCTTTATCTTCGTATTGTTTATCTTGTTCTCTGCTGGTCTGTCAGTCTTTTGAAATACCATTTGAAATCGTCTCAGTTACGAATTACAATTTGTTCGTTAGTTTCCTTGTTGTTGTTGTCGTTGTTATTGGTGTTTGTTTGTTGGATGTCTCTTATACATTGATTTGGTTAACAAGCAGAGAGCTGCAGGAATGTTCCATGTTGTGTTGTGTCGTGTCGGGTGAGACATCGTGAGTAAATGAACAGCTAATTAAACCTAATTGTTGAGTACATCATTTGTATCATTAAACATATATCTCGTTGATCCTCTCACTCGAAGGACATCAGATTGGCGGGCAGTGGCTTTGGCACACGCGTCGTTGCCAGCTTGCAAATGGCATTCGTCCACAGATGCGTCATCTGCGGACTATCCGCGCGAAATTTGTAAACGGTGCCCAGAGTGCGGTGGTATAGCTCAAATGAGTTCTTATGCTTCGTATTGTCGATGACGTGCGCATTCCAGCCCTCCAGCGGACACACCTTGCACGGCTCACGCTTAAAGTCGCCGCGTTCGCTGCCCTTGAACGACTTGGGCGGGAAGTAGACGAGCGAATTGGCCCACATCTGTACCCAATATCTCTGCCACGATGCAACAGCGGGCTTTCTACCCTCCTTCTGCACCGTCTTGCGGCGCAGACAGCCCTGCATGGCGGCCGCTGCCTCCGGTGACATCAGATCGCAATTGCTGCCCGTAAAGTCGCACAGGATGCCCTCGGCGCTCTCCAGAGAGGTCAAGTCGGCATTGGACAGCGCATCGCTGTGCTCCAGCACAGAGTCGTCGAGCAGATGATGACGCGGCAGCACGTTGCCAATTAGATCGTGTTCCAGATGCAAGTGATGCGGATGTCCATCGTAATTATTTGGCGCTATTTTGCCAAAGATGCTGCGAAAGCACAGACGAAAATCAGTTTGATTGTTGTTGTTGATGATGGAACGGCACGCCTTAGTATTATATGTGTTTATTCACAAAGGGGGCGTCATGCAGACAAGCGTTCAAATGGGTTAAAACTAAACACAATGTAAAGCAACTAACAGCGCGTTTGTCTGTGTGTGTGTGTGAAAGAGTGGGTGTGCGCGTGTTTGTATGTGGGTGAACGATGTTCATATGTGGCAAAGATGAGCTGATGAAACACAAATCATTTAGCTAAACTCATACAGCTAATTTACACCCAAAGCAAAGCGAGTATGAGTGAGCGTGTCTTCTGTGTATTGCTTTACCCCTGCAGAGTTCATTTTTATACGATCCTATATAGCTGCTATACATATATTCTATCAAAGCTCAATGCGCCTTACTTTCGCAGCGTTTTGAAAACAATTGTTGCTGGCACTGAATTATACAATATAAATATAACATTGAATCAGATCAGATACTTCAGATATAGATTCGATTACAAGAGTCAGTCATAGAGTTACTTTAGCTACAATTACTAATTCTATGAGCAAGTTTTCTGAAGAATGAATGACTAAATCATATAGGTCAAACTATCAAATAAATGCTTATATTTATAAAAAGAGCAGCAAATAGCTATTTAATATACATTGATCGAAATGTCTGCAGGCGTTTATGATCTTCGGCAATCCGAAGCTTGGTTTGTGTATCTTGTGTTCAAGTGTTTGTTGTTTTATGATGGGTCTTGTTTTTGTATGTAAGCATTTTAAGTTGGGTCCGTGCACACAAACTGATGAAAATAAGGATTAGAAAATGAATAGAACGGTTTAGAGACATATCCTAGCTATAGGCTACGGGCTACGGGCTACGTAGGCACTCACCGGCGGCATCTGCAGCGCTTGTTGGAGATTGTGCCAATGCCCGGCGCAATCATTACAATGCAGCACTGACACCTTTGTGCAAAGTTGCGCGGCAGGCTGCTGCTGCGAAATCTAATTGCAGTAGCAGTTGCAGTTGCAATTACAAACAGATACAAGGAACAGGTACAAAGATACAGAACGAAAGCGAAAAGCAAAAAGCATAAGTGGACATGTACAAGAGACAATAAATTGATAATAACAATATTAATAGTAAAGAAATGTTCAGAGAGTAAAATGTTAACGTTTGTTTGGCACCCCCAACGTTCAGTCCAATTGCACAGTGAAGAGAGTTTTGTGTCGAGTGATGTTTAAAATAAACGAATAGAAAGTTGATTTGGTTTCTTTTTTTTGTTTTTTGGACGAAACTCGAGAGTGTTTGATTGGCAGTTAGAGAATGCGCGCGAATATTTTGAATTACGAGAATCGAATGCAATTGCTAACTTACTTGGTGCCCAGGCTGCGGCACTTGCGATGGCCAGGCACAAACTTTGTCCCACTGGCCATGCGCATGGAGCCGATGGTCTTGGCCGGTGACAGATTCAAGCAACCTAGAGCAGGTGTAACGGATTCCACATTGAACGATTCCTTCGAGCTGCACGAAGACGAACTAGGACCAGAGGGCGAGGCAGGCTCCAGACTTAACGAGCGTCTGTTTGAATTGGGTGAAAAAGTTAGTTTCATTCAAATTCATTTATTTAAAGTAGTTCTCATTACTTGTATTGATCCTCCTCGAATATGTTTTGCAGCTCTTCAATGTAGCGTATGGAGGTGAGATACTTTTGCGTCGACTCATGTGGCTGAATATGCTGATAATTAGATTGCTGATAGTTGGAGATGACGCGCAATATATTATTCATCTTATTGCGCCGCTGCTCTGGCTCGAGGCCTCCCTTATGCGGATGCGCCAGATCGATGTAAATCAAGTCTGTCAGAAAGAGACCCAAATAGGGTATACAAGGCAGACGTAGACTCTCCAAATACGAGCGTAAATTAGCCCAGTTATTCTGATCGCTAAATATATCGCTCAAGCGCTCAAAAGACTGTCGATCCTTCTTGGACAAACAGGCCCAGGTCTTTTTCAGACGATAAATGCTGGCGCTCTGCATGGCCGAGATAATGGCGAACAGCGAATGCAGGTTGTTCAGTTCGTGCAGTTTCTTGGCCACCTAAGATAAGATAACTTCATTATTTTTTATAATTCACTTATTTTATATATACTATTTATTTCACCTTAATGAAGTGTGTCATGATCTCTGCACGTTGCTTGGGCTGTTCGGCGTTGAGTATCTCCTGCACTGTCCAGAAACTGGTGTGATTAAAGCGCTTGGTAAACGCCACAATGTTGGGCGTAACCACATGCTTATCCTTTTTGGTCCAGGCACAGCTGCTCAGCTCATCCGGCTGTATGAGCGCAAAGACGGGAAAGTCCAGCAGCGTTATCTGATTGGCCAACACATCAGCGGGCACACGCAACGCACTGAGGATGACCGCATCAAGCTGCTTAATGGAGCCATGCGCTGGCAAGCTCTGTGATTTGTTCGCTGGCGCTGCAGTTGTACTGCAAACGAAAGAGAGAGAGAAATTGCATTAACTTAACTATATTTTTATTGCACTTAATTCAATTTGCTTTGAACTCTTACGCTATGCTATAGTAACAACCGGGCGAGTCTGGCGAGGAGCTAAAGCTGGTCAAACAACCGATGGAGTTCTTGCGACGTGTGCTCTTGATGTTCAATGTTTTGCTGGCTGGCTGCTGTGCCTGCGTCTGCTCTGCCTGCAGCTCCTTTGGTCCTTTATCCTGACGCAAACAGGCCATGGTGTGTGCATTGCCATTGGAGCTGCGCTGCTTCGACTGCCTCAGCAGCTGTGGCGATGCAGCCTTCGCCTGGCAACGTGTCTGTGTGGGTGAAGCCGTAACAAAAGTTTGCCCGCCATAGCCCACATACTCCCCAGTGGGTTTTCTGCTTATCTGTGTGTGCATTAAAGAGAAGTTTGTATAAAAGGCATATATTTGAGGCATTGCAAGAAGCTTACCTCTGAGTAGCGCAGATTATCCATGGAGAGGTCGCGCGAAATTTCTGAATAGCGCATCATGGCAAATGTCTCTAATAAACCACTTGTCTACCAAGCTGCAAGTAAATAACAATTTATATACGTATTTATTATGGCTATTGCTCAAACTCTGTACATGCTAGTACTTCTATTTAAAGTTTGGTCTAAGCTCTGGCTTTAGCACCGTGCGGCGGGCAGCCTTTATGTTTACTGAACACAATTTTCTGTTGCGGCTGCAACAAAAGCCACAATGCAGAACAACAATAACAAGATACCATAATGAAACAACGACAACAACAACAGGAACAGCAACAACTGGTGGTGGGACGTGTGGCACGCTTCGCTGCTCGATTTCCACAGCAGCGAACAAACTGAGTCACGCGGCATGCGGCACGAAGAGAGACCTGGATCTGGTCTTTTATGGCAGCAGCGGCTACTGTTGTAGCTGTCGATTGGCTTTTTTTTATATTTTGGGGGGTGCCAATGCAACAACACCAGCAACGGCAACAACAACAACATGCGAAGCTAATGATATGCACAGAGTCAGCGGAAAGGTTTTTCGTGGATAAATAAAAACAAGTCACCAAAACGGTCAATGAACCTTCCATAGAATGCACCGAAGAGAAACCCTATGGATGCCCCAAATTATTTAAAATATATTCACATATACAGACATTTAACAAGTAGATGTGTTGCAGTATGCTCGACAAGCAGATACCCAGCAGCAGATGAGAAGAATCAGGCATGAGTAGTGATTGAACAATATAAACATTTAATGTGCTCAACAAGTAGATACCCTGCATAATATTCACAGACACAAAAATCAATCATTTTTGTTGATCGATAGCATAATGCACAGAGGGTATATCTATGCTCTATCCTTTACTCTTCGGTAAATCGAATCGCGCATTAAATAACCTTCAATTTTGATATTAAACACTCTCCTCCATGGCGCACACATTGCTGTGAGAGCTCTAATAACAAGACACATGCAATTATGTCTGTACACGAATCTATACCTATATCCATTTATATATAGAAAGCTATATGGTATATAGGTATATAGATATATATATATATGTGCTGATGCCACACATTTCTCAAAGACTGTCTGACGGCGACCCCGTCTAATTAATTTCAATTAAGTCATAATCATTCCACACAGCAAATGCAATGACGTTTCGATTCGATTGGTCTGCGTAGCCCACTCCAGGAAATATATATATATATGAATCAAATTTGCAAATGGCGAGCCGATAGTTAGCTATACATTTAGCTCATGTGACTCTTATCGATTAAAAGCCCACAGAAAACAATGAGAAACAATTTGTTTATGTGTTCAAACTTCCAAAGAAATTTCGGGTAAACAAGTTAGTTAGCCTGAGTGGCTCAACTATATATTTTTGTTAAATGGTCAGCGTTTTGATAGAAAGTTTTCATAAACTACTCAGATATAAGCCAATTCAATTTAAATCAATTTTTCTCATAAACAACAAAAATTAATATTGAATTTAATGGACCGCATGATTCTGTCCTTTCCAAGGCTTAGCAAACTCAATATATAATACTTTTCAACTTAAAAAATTTTATAATAAAACAAAGTGATGAAGAAAAAAGACATAGCTGAAGTCTTATGACACGCTAAGTTAATTAAAAACATGATAATATTTTAACGAAAAATATATATATGGAAAATATATTTACTGTAAGCAATAATTTTTGCTCTGACCTTTTGAGCTTTACAAAAAAATAAAAACAACATTTCAATATGCCTTTCCAATTACACATATATATAAAAGAAGCAAGCAGAAGAAAGCACTCGCCCTTAATGTTCAGATAAAGGAAAAATACATTTTCTGGCAAGGCAAGGCGCAAATGAATTATTTTCCAGACTGCCTCAAGTTTTCAGCAAATGGATTTTTATTGACTATTTGAACTATTGCCGAAACAAATATACAGCCATACGTTATATATACATCTAGCTATATACCCATATATATATTGAGCAAATGAATAAATTTGCTAGCATTGTTTTTGGCATGGAGAACAATTTGTAAAGATATCAAATGCAATTAAAGTAAATTAACTGCCATCACGTGTGTGTGTGGGTGTGTGTGTGTGTGTGTGTGTAGCTTATTTTGGCTAAGTTATGAGACTTTAAATTGCTTTGGCTGTTGTATTTAGATTTACAAATTTCCCACGTTTTGCTCCTATAAACAGGTCTAGATATGTAAATATATTTTCGTTTGTTTTGCTTTGGCTTTGATCTGCCTGCCTATAGACACAACATGTACCTAGACATAAGTGCCCCTATATACATATTTATATAGATATATACATGCATTATAATTTGTATAATAACAAATGATATTGTGGTCAGGGACATGAATGTGTGGAGGCGTCGCTACTGTTGGGCGCTTTTGTTTATGGCCACCGCCCACCACCAGCTACACCAACCACCACACACCCCCCATGCACACCCTACACGCACATAAACATACATATAGAGTCATATGTGTAGCCCAATAAATATGTTTATTGTATTTACATAAATTTCGGAAAGGAAAGCAAACAAAACAGCTGCAAAGTTCGCGGAAATCAAAGTTGACTATGGCTTGTTTATCAGCCTGCAGCTGTATTTAAATAAAATACAAAAAAGAAAAAGAAAAAGAAAAGCTTCAAACGGAATGCCGACCATTCAATACACTATAAAGCGCAGCTGCCTAGAGTCCAGTCAGCTGCATCTGTTATTGAAGTTTACATATTCTTCTTAATAAATGAAATATTTTCTGATATATTATATTCTATATATACAGCCAGCCAGTGTAGAGTATATATATGTATAAGTAGATGTCCCCCTATCAGTGGAATGTGTGTTGGCGTCTTTAATTGCCTTTGATAAATGCTGGGGCCACCTCGGAATGCGCCTTTCAACTCTCGCTGGCTCACACTTGGCTGTGGACCCTTGACTGACTGACCCTCGGCTAGATCATTCAACAGTTCTATATAATTATGCTGCTTCTTCTTCAGCGGTTTTACAACATTAAGTTCTGGCTTTTCTTATTTGGGTTGTTGGATCTTGACACACACACAGTGTGGAGCGGGCAAGGTCAGCTGATGTCGCCAGAGATGACAGCGATGCCAACGTCAAGTTCAATAACCGCGACACAGATTTGTTTTTAAAATGGAAATGCCCCGTTATAAATGTATACACATATATATATATAATATATACACATAAATATGTATAGGTGTCAGTGCATGAATTAACCTTCGAACGCTGGCAATGCGATTGCGATTGTGATTGTGAAAAGTGCACGCACATGCATACATACAGTAGGCTTCGGCTATAGACAATACGCGTGCAAGACCCCTGCCAAGGCTAGTTTGGCTATAATTCATTTTTACATTCGGAAACATATTTACTTAATCTTAGAATATTATTTTAATGGCTTCTTGAATTAAGTTTGCTTATTAATGCCTTGCAATTCGCATTATTAACCTGATTTTTCTTCCTTGACTTATACATTTTCCAAAATTTATTTAAAACTGTACTAAATGGCCAAGCATGGATAGAACTCTAAAGCGCTCACAGCTAGAGTTAATATTTCCAGTATTTTATTCATTTATCACCATTATCTAAAGTCAATACACACTATACTCTAAAACATGTGCATTCATTGAGGTGCCAAAACGAAAAGTTTCTGGTTTTCATTCAAAAGCTGTCAAAGGGGCCCCTTTTGCTTTCTTATCAGCATTTAAACGCATGCGACTGCAATGCAAGCCAAGTGCAGTTTAGCATATGTGCATTAATGTGTTTGTATATACAGACTAAGCAGCACTATCAGCATATATGTGTGTATGTAATAATATACATATGAGCATGTGTGTGAGCGTGGGTAATAAGCACTTGTAATCATAGACGAGAGAAACTGCAACTGGAAACAAAACAAAACCCAAGTTGAACCGAGACGAAGGAAGGCCAAGCGATATAGAATAATGAGCTTGGCTCTGGGGTTTTGCTTTCTGCTGACGACGCGCTGCGTTTTGTAGATATACGCTGTATACAGAGGGAAAATGAGGGGTATATAGTTGACCTACATAGAAATGCCTCTGTTAAAAAACGTATCAACGTAACAACGTAACAACCTTCAGCCAAGATCGAGCTGAAAACTGAAACTATAATCTCAAACTCTATAATTTAGCTGCTCTTTCAAAGTCAGTTTCTGTCTTATCTCTTCAGCAGCTGAAGCAGGAAGAATTTCGTATATTTCCGTGTTGCCATTTTATTAATTTTTATACAGAGTATTAAGCCGTCGACCACAGCCGATTGCATTGTTCTCACTTGTTTTCTGCTCTTTCTGATCCGCGCGCTGTAAAGTGGGTCAAGCCTAGAAAACTAGAAACGTAACCAACATATAAGTGTGCGTACTTCTTAAGTGCCTGCATACAGCACGGAAACAAAGAGAGTGAGCGAGAGAGCGAGGACAAGAGCAAGTGCTGAAAGAGCTGTGCAATAACAGTGCTACGCATGGAGCCTTGAAATGGCAGGCAAAAACATCTGGCTAGGCAACCTGGTTGGCTTGCCTGCCTGTGCTCTGCCTCTGCGGCGGTCTTCACATCCTGTTTAACAAGTAAGCAAAACAACAGCTGGAAAATATATCCATAAAGTGAAACTCAAATTTCATGCCCAGGGGCGTTGCTAAGCGCTTGAGTGTGTGTGTGCATGAATACATCAATATATATATATATTCGGTGCCTACACTTTGTGGGTGTCTGATAACTTTTCTTATCACATGATCTAATGCTTAGGTTTATCACCAAGGAAGCGACGCTAAATGTTCTTTTTTTATTTTATTGATTTGCCTAAGCGATGAATCACGTTCCACACATTTACCGGCAATATAACGCAAATTAGCCACGGAGCCACAACAACAACACACCCCTAACTAAATCGATAGCAATGAATAAGAATACCCCTACCCCCAGGCCCGGGTCTCACGCAAGTTCTGTATATACCGTCGTTAATGCTTAGCACATCATATGCAAACTGCCGTTCTCTCCCTCTCACTCATTCTAGTTGCCCGCCCAGTTTCGTAATCGGCAAGTACGCCCAAATACATAAAAAAAACACCAGAATGGAAGACGAAAAATATTTGCACTTGATAGCGAATGTGACAAAGTTGTGGGTCGTAGTTAGTCAGAGGAGAGTGCATACTGCATCTCAAGATCTTTATTTATAGTTTGCGTCTGTAGACGCCCCAAAAAAAATAGAAATAACAAACTTACCTAAACAACAACAGCGACAACGGCGGCAGCAGAAGCAGCAGCAGCGACAATAGCAGCAGCATCTGTATTGGGGAAGCCAAGCATAATTGACAGGCACTGCAGCTGTAGCTATGTTTAAACTATGTTTCAAACTCGTTCTACACGCACAGCAAATATGAAGTGACGGCAGCACCGATTACTCGCACGTTTTCGTTGTCCGCAAGACTTGAAATAGTATTTAATTAATTAATATGAAATAAAAACGCGCGCGGCGTACGCACATTGAATTATTATTGTCGCAATTACTGATTGGCTTCTGTTCTCGCAGTGTGACCAGCACAACACATGCGCAAAAATAACAAGCTTCGTAGTGTTGCAATATGTTTGAAGCAAGTTGGCAGTGCCATTTGAATACTGTGGCAGCTCTATAGAATGCGCGCCAAACAATATTTAAACATAAATGCTGAATGAAATAAATTAATCTGTAGTTTTCCTCTTTGAGTAAGTATTTAATAAAAACACGATTATTTTTGGTTAGTTTAGTTTATTTTGTATGCATATTGTATAATTTGTGTTATTATGGTTATCATATAATACATAAATAAATTAAATTATATTCTTTATGCATAAATATATGTTATGTATTTTTTGGATTTCATTCAAGATATCAATCATATATATATGTGTGTGTATATATATATATTTGGTTTACCGCCTTGACTTTCGTAGTACACCATAAAATATATATTTCAAACTCAACATTTCGTTTGCAGTTGGTTTTTAGTATTTTGTTTTTTTTTTTTTTTTTTTATTGTAGCAAAGTACAATTCCAATTGTTCGTATTGTTGAAAACAATATAAAATAGTTTTTCCATGCTTTAATTCAAGCTGCTTAGCAGTTGAAGACTCCTTATTTTCGTTTTCCATAGGTTTTTTTTATTATTATTCGTATTATTGTATTTCTTTGTAAGTTGCTTTTTTAAACTCTTGAGTTTGTCTTCTAACGTATTTAATATATTGTTACGGCCGCAATTGTTTACGTTGTTGTTTTTGTGGTTGTTCATTGTGTCTTATTTTTAAATATATATTTATATTTATATATTTGTTTCATGTTTATTTACAGCAATTGAGAAAAATGTCGCGCTAATATTTGTTATTTTTCGCCTTTTTCTGTTTTCGTTTTCTTTTTCTTTTTGGAACGTGGAGCAGCTACTTTTAATTTTATTTCGTTTAATTTTTCGCTAATTAATAAATAAATTTCGTTAGTTTTCTTTTCTTTCTTTTTTGTACAATAGACGCGTGTTTGTTTGTGTGTGTGTTATCAGTCGTTTTTCATTTACTTTACATGAATGTGCTGGAAATTATTGTTAAGTTATACTTGTAAATAATTCAACGCCTTTCAAATAGTTCCAATATATATAAATAAATATATATATATATATATATATGAGTACATACATGCATATACATATATAAGGGTCCATACATATGTCTGTATGTGTGTTTTTCTTTTGGTTACCAGAATTGTATTTCTAAATTGACACAGATAATTGAAGATCACAAAGCGTAGTACGATAAAAAGTATTAGTAAATCAATTTTGTTTTGTTCGTTTTTTGTTTTTAAAGGGGATAGGTTGATGGAGAGGGGCAAATACCGTAAGTTATAATTTCGTTAGGCTTTTTTGTATATAAGTATGTTACAATAATTACACAAATAGGTATATATATTACATACATGCATACACATGCATGTACATAATAATTATAATATAATTTATGCTTCACTTAATATTTGTTTTGTTTTGTTTTTTTCTTGTTCCAATGCCAATATGCAGACTTTAAAATAGTTGTTTTTCTCATAAATTGATTCTTGTTAGTGTTGATATAAAGTTCAATAAAATGTTAAAATACAATACAATATAAATAAGTACACATTCTTTGGATTGTATTTAAATTGAATCAGTAGCATATGATGCATATGGAGGGGATCAAAGTAGGGAGAGGGGGAGCGGCTCTTCGATTATTATAAATGTGTTTTTTGTGCAATATTTTCTGCATTTGATTGACAGGCACACAGCACGTAATGCTGCGCAATAGCTCGACTCGACTTGACTCAACTCAACTCGACTGCGATGCACACAGCAGGTAACAATTGCAAAGGATGGCGGGAGTGGGGCAGCGAGGGGGGATGTCACATTATATGCAGGTCTTACATCATAGCAATACTCGATTATGATACGATACGATAACGATACATAATGCATATACATAATAAGTTAAGTTAAGGACTTACACTCAAGAGTGAGGGAAGGAAGCTAAGAGAGATTTGTTTGTGCTGTTCAAGCTAGTTGTTGACCCGAGGAATTTCATTCCAGCGACTTTCTTTAGGAATACATAATCTATACAAACGCGCGCGTATCTGTGTTTGTGTTCGTGTGTGTGTGTGTTATGTACAAACGCGTACCTGTGTGTGTGGGCGTGTGAGTGTGTCTCATGTGTAACTGTTGGCTGACAAAATGGATCAGTTCTACTTAACCATCCAGGCCAAGAGACAGAGAAAGAGATGGAGTGAGAGACTGTTAGTTGTCCCTTTCGCACACACTTTACTTCTTGCTCTTGCGCTTCTCCTTCTTCTCCTCGCTGGCGGAAGCTTTAGCAGCAGCAGCGGCAGCTGCATTGGCCGCAGCATTCAACAGATTCATGTTCGGCTTGACCGTGCCCTTCTTCTGTGTGGCCGGCTGCTGGGGCGTGGCTTGCGTAATGTTATTGTTATTGGGAGCGGCATTGTTCGCATTGTTGTTGGCTGCAGCATTAGCATTGACATTGGCGGCAGGTGTAGCCGGCGTCTCGTCCAGGAAGAGCGGATTCTTGACCTCCATTTCGCCAGTGGGCGCCAAGCCGGGGCATTCATAGACAGTATAGTCACCCTCCTCGTTGTCATCGTCGCTCTCCACGTCGGACAGGCCGCAGCTGCCATCGGTCGCCTGACAGTTCTCCATGGCTATGATCTGTTGCTTCTGGTGTTGATAGTGATACATCTGAGCGCTCTGCGCCAGCTTGCGATCGCACGACGGCGAGACGTCCTTGTTGGGGCCGGTTACGCCATAAGCTGGATAGTCGACATCTGCAGCGGCTTTGCTGCGATTGTGGAACCTGTAACAGCGAGCAAAGGATAGCAGTTGGCTTAGTTATGCAATGAAGGCTTTTTTAATATTTAATAATATTTTAAAATTATTTTCAAGCTAATTTGATATGTATAAAAAATGCCTTAAGTAATACAAATATTCGAGTTTCACTCGTAATTTCTGTTTCCTTCTTATGTGGGTGTACGCACGCCCCAGCTGCGTATACGTAATATTTAGGAAGAATATATTTAGACTGGGCAAACATGAAGGTTTATTTTTAAGCATCGTATACGTAATATCTAACGAATATTCTTAGCTAGCTACGTTTAATTGTTTGCTATATATATTGGCTAAATCTGGGTGTCACGCATTGCATACGTTAAATATTAAAATACGTTTAGCAATGGATAAGAATGGTTTTCTTAGACATCGTATACGTAATATTTCTATATAACATTATATAAGTTCCTTATATTTATTTTCTAAGTTTTTATTTACGGCTATCTTCGTCCATCTTTTCCACCACTCTATACCTATCAAATATTTCATTTATCGTTCACATCTTAATCTAAAACTCACCAAGTAACGCCCAGCGCCAGTAGTCCCACAGTGACCGCCGCACTGACACCTGCGATGAGTGCCACGAGGTAGACGCCCATTTCGCTGTTCATGCCCAGATGCTGACGCAGCACGAGCTGCTCATTGGCATCAGCTGTGTTGACTGCATAGGCCGAATGCGGGGATTTACTTTGCTTTTGCAGCTTATCAATCAGCGCATTTATCTCATTGGGCGACTCTTTGGCCTGGGGCAGATTGACGCCGGCAACGGCGGCAGCAGCTGCCGACTGCGGCTTAATGCGATGGAAGTTGGCAATGGCCGTGTCCAGCAGCTTAGGCGGCTCCACCGGCTTAGGTGCGGACTGCACGGCTGATTGGGGCTTGCTCTTGGCAGTGACCACCTCGGAGCCGGAATCCGGTACCGGTGCGTACTCCTCATAGTCGTCCAATGCTCGCGAGTCTAGCTCACCAGACAAATCGTTAGCCGTATCGAAGAAGCGCGCATCGTTGGGGCCGACGGCAAAGGCGATGCGTCCACGCGACGGAGCAGGATTAATGCGATTGTAGTTGTTGTCCAGGCTATCGAAATTGGGCAGCGGCGGTCGCATCACATCGGGCACAGTATCCAACGGACTGCCATATGCCGCATCGCCCTCCACATTGTCGTATTGATCATATTGATTATTCAAGTTGTTGTTGCTGTCGTAATCGTTCTTCATCTCAGCCAACACTTTGGCCTCCTCCTGCTGCCGACGATACTGTTCGTTCTTAAGCAATTGCCGCTGACGCAACAGCTGCTGATTAATGAGCTCCAACTGCTGCTCGAATTGCTGCTGCAGTCGACGTCTAGCATGATCCTCCATCAGCTGTTCGTAACGCTGCGGCTCCATGGCCGAGGGCTGTATAGGTCGGCGTCGCAGACCTGGTAGAGCGGAAAAAGTAGAGGTAGAAAGAGAAATGCAATTGATTAATTGAACGCAGCTGGGCGTGGACATGGGCACTCATTATGCTAAAATCCAACGAGTGAGAGAAGGCTAATGCTAATGCTAATGAGACGGACATTGCGTGCCAGTTGCTGTTCAAAAATAAAAGCAGAACCAAAAATAGAAACCAGCAAAACGAGAAATGTAAGAAAAAGGAGGTAAAGCTACAGCTGCGTATAACACGCCCAAATAGAGCTACCGGAATAGACAAACAAAAAGTCAATTTAATTGCCAATGCCTTAAAATAGACCAATTACTATACACACTACAACACACACACGCACACACCCGAGCACGCGCACACATAGATACGCGCTGTGACGTGCTTGGAAAAACTTTATTACAATTTCAGCGCTGCCCTGAAAAGTAGGCTATAAAAAGCGTGTTAAGCAGAGACTGCAACTAACTCGAACTCAAGCAGCCAGCAGGCGATAGACTATATATAGTGTGGGTGGCACACGGGTTGGCTATGGCTTTAGCACCTATCCACACACACACACGCACATAAACGGCAACTGCTGGCGCTGCAGCTTTTCAAGTGTGTGTGTTAGGGTGTTTTGGTTTGATTCGTGCATATTTGATGCTCGATATATATATATAGACACACATACATACACACTTATACTATACTCATGCATATCTAGTATAGAGTATACACAAAACGAAGTGGCAAGCGGCTGCTTTCGCCCTTCAGCCCCATTCACGACGCAAAAGTTTAAATGACATGCACACACACACACACAATCGTACCTCTAACTGGCGGTAAGTGGTGTGTGTGTGTTGGTTTGTGCTATTTTTAGGCATATGTACCTGGGTAAACGGACATCTCGCAGTGACCCAATATGCTGCACATGAGTATTGCAATCAGTGCGCAGCTTATTTCCATCCGCTTGGCCATATTGTTGTATCTTTCACTCGGTCGCTCTCGCTGACTTAACTGTTTATTGCTGCTTAATTGTTTTTGAGCAATTTAATTGTTTTTCTATTTATTTTTTTCGATTAGTTTAATCAACACTTCTGTGCAGACACTTGGCAACTAGTTACCATATGGCCGGTGTTAATGTGAGCCGTGCATAGCTGCTGTTGCCCTTTCAGCCTTTAGAGTTTATTGATTTTCACACCAATACACACACCCAAACAGGCATACAATTAGCAGGCAGCTGCTGGACACAAAATTCGCGTGGGCGTGCAATATTTTCTTTATTTTCTGCAATTTCCTCGAATGGAATTGGACTCTCGGCACTGTTCACTCGGATATTTGAATACTTGCTACACTTGCACCGGCTGCCACAAATGTCAAATGTTGCACTTTTCTTTCAGATTGCAGTGAAATTCAGTTAGGGAAACTTGTGTGGCTGCTGCCAATTAGGAGTGTTTGAGGTTTGTCGTTTCCAAGCTGTTTGCGTTCTTCAATCGCCGACGTATACCGTTATACTGAATGAGCCCAAAAGCAAGCAAAAGCAGCAATTGGTAGCTGTGACGCAAATGTTATGTCCGCCCCCGCGCTGTTAAATGTTGCGGGCAGCTTTTGTGGCTAAGCCAACAACAAAGCACACTGAAAACAGCTCAGCGCAGGCGCCCTGCACGTACACAAAAAAAGCTCGACACGTCCGAACGGGATTGTGTGTGTGTGCGTGTGTACGTGTGCAGGGATTCTTTGAATAAACATTCATGCATTCATGAAAAAGCCGAAGCCAGATTGCTTCAACAGCTAGCAGGTGGCCGCTACGTAGTCAGGCACATACACACACCCTTATACACACTTGATGTTTGACATGTACTTTTGCAACCCCACAATTGTCGTTTGGGATAGGGCAATTTATTTTTATCAATGAATTCTCAACCCGAAAGCTTTCTATTCACAGGAATGCTTAAATGCTGCGCATCTTTGACTTTCCACTGAATATAGAAAGCCCAGGTAAAGAGTTAAAAGAAACTTGAATTTGAGAATTTCAGTTATAAATACTCTCGTCGCATGTAAAATAAAAATAAAAATAAAATTATTTTTAATCGCTACTTAAATATTTGAATTTTGATATACGATAGCAAAATCGATTTCTTAGATATGTTTGCCTCATTTTCTTTTCGATCTCGATAGGTGCAATTGTTTAATATGTTTGCTTTTTTCATAATCTATTTAAAACAAACTATATTTGATTGCTTTAACTGTCAATTAGACGTTGATAGTATTATACATTTGTTTGATTTTTTAAAATTTTGATTTCTTAAATTAAAATAATACTCCACTTAAAAACGATTTGCCTAAAACGCGTTTTTTTATCAAAATGCGCTAAAAAATATTACATCATAAAAATACTGCTTTTGATAAACACATGTTATCGATATTTAATCATTGTTATTCGTGAATCATTTTTTAGCCAGCCCACAAAGAAATACTATAAACAAATAAAATGGGATCCGAAAAAGGTAATAATTGCACTATAACGTTGATTAAGATATAGACTAATTATCTATTGTCTATTTACATGGTTTACTTTATACCACTCAACACACTCGCCATCGAACCAACAACAACAAATATACCAATACCTACAGTGTAAGTCGCAACCTAATATATATATATGTGTGCGCATTTTCCAGCAATTGATAACACTTGCAATTTTTCTTTCAGTTTGATTATATGCGCATTTATGACTGTCCTGGGAATGACATTCCTAATCTTGGCTTGTGCGTTGCCCACTCCAAAGATATTCTATCCATTCTTTGTGCTGATATTTTACGTTTTGTCTGTGTTATCCGTCTTCATATCGAAGCGGACCACCCCAAACAACGAAACTAATCCGAAATCAGAATTTGCCCTATTCCTTACAGCTGGTATGGTGCTGAGCGCCTTCGCTCTGCCCGTCGTTTTGGCGCATTCAGCTGTCGTAAGTTCCACAAAAATAGAATCTAACATTTACACAACCGCTTTGTTTAATACTTTAGATAAGTTGGACTGCGTGCTCGCTGACGCTGATAGGCAACGTTATAAACTATTCAACTATGTTTGGCTATGCCATGCGGGATGAAGGCTTCGATGCGCCATATGGAGGCATGTTTTAAATTGAGTATCGAGTTTAATTTTAAGCGCCCGTCTACGATTATTGGATGTAGCAATTTGGATGCAGCTATTTTCATCCCAGACGACAGTCAATCTCACATTAATAAATATATTCACATAACAATTATTTAATTGAAATAATATACATAATAGTTATAAACCGTGAGCAAATGATCTTTTTATATGATAATTGGAGATGCATTTTTGACTAGTGGTTCGGAGCTCATATTTATTTATATGTATATTCCAGAGAAAGTGGTTCCATTCAGTTGCATATTTTTAAATGCAACATTTATTTTGTTAAAATATAAATCTGGTTTATAAATATTTAATAGATTAACAATTAGATTGAACTTGTTCCGCATATTTTGTGAGCTGCTTGAGGCAGTACTTAGTATATCGACTATCGATAACTATTGCTTTAGCTGCGCCAGTTCGCTCGTGAACCAAACAATGTCAATTGTTTTTTTGAAAGTTGGGTAGCTATGGAAATTCCAACCAAACATAATGAAATTGGTGAAGAGCATTGCCAAGACTCTTCAAAAGAAAATATTGGCGAAAATGAGGAAAATGATGAATACGATACGACTGTGGATACAGAATGGGAAATGGAATACGAAGCTTCCTTGGAAAGCGACTATAGCAGCTGTGAAAGTGAGCTCGTCATTGAGCCACAACCAAGTAAAGAGCACTTAAATGATATTCCCATGCACAAATATCCATTTAAGCTGAAACAAAACGAAGAGGGGTAAATACTAGAAAGTTTTTATGACAGTATAATGTATTTTATGTTTCCTTCATTTAGAAACATACTTACCGTGCATAATACAATCAAATGTGTGTCAAGGGATCTTAGGATTCGCATAGCTGCTTGCTGCTTTAATGAGTTGAGCAATAGGCTTGTAGTCATTGATAGGCGGTAAGATAAACTGGTTGTTCTTGTAGGTAAAACTCACAGTGTACCTCTTCCATCCACAGCGGCAGCATCTACATTTTTGATTTTGTATGCAAACGCTATTGGCGTTTGGATTGCACTGTTCTAGGGACAACACTATTGGTTACCTCGCCCCGGCTTCATAGTGAATACATTGTGGGCACCAAATCGGGCCACGTCTATACGTTGAATGTAGAAAAGTCCACTCTACAGCAAACTAAAGTAGGCGATTCAACCATTGATGAGATTTCCTTTGGAAATCGACTTAATAGCTGCAGTGCATGCAATGCTCTGATACGTTTAGGTCCTGCAGCTGTGTTATTGAACTTTACCAAGTTGGTATTGTCGCATAAGCTGGAGTTTGATCAGTCAAAGTTTACATTGAAGTTTGCCAGTTTTTTACCCAAATCGGATAAGTTCTTCACATGCTACACTAATGACACGATTCATCTTTGGTCCAGCTTCAATCTTGAAACCTTGTATATTTCTCAACCTATTAAAGCGCGCGATCGCAAAAAACGTTTGATGCAAGGTGATCAATCAAAGATCCCGGAGATTGCTTTGCGTGCTGAATATGATGAAGAGAACCAGGTTGAGGATGACCTGGCATTCACGTACGATGATCAGCCTTTCACCGATGGCAAACTACTTGCATATAGCTTCTCTCCAAATGGTAACAAGCTCCTCCTGAGCACAGTGGATGGATATTTGTTGATGCTCAGCACAGCATCCCTTGACATGGAAAATTTGTTCAAGCTGCGCGATTTCATTTTGAAGCAATTCGTGCTGATGGCTCAACCTAAGAATCGCATTATATTTGGCATCACAGCGGCCGGCATGGCTATCATGTTGGATCTGTTGCAGACGGAATACAAACTTATCGTGCAACGTTCGAATGCTGTAAACATAAATGTTAGCCGCGATGGAAAGCTGCTTAGCGTATTGTCTAAGAGTGGTGAAGTGAATGTGTGGTCCATTTGCCGGCTATATAATGCACTACATGCACAGACGAAGTGCATCTCCCAGGTACGCGCAGCGCTGAAGACGCCGACTGCAAAACTGCCTTGTCTCGTCAGTGGCCCAATGAATCAAGAGCTGCAAAAGTTGCTGAAACGTGAACGCTTGGAAGCTATGCTCGCTGAGTTTGGCTGTTATCCAGAGAAATATCGTTTCATTATATGGAGTACACTGCTGGAGCTACCTTCTAATGCCGCCCAGTTCCAAGCGCTTCTTAAACGTGGCCAGCCTCTTGTGATCAAGCAACGTGCACGAAATATAAAGGTGAAAAGCGATGCACAGAGACGAGCCGTTGTCAAAGTGTGGAGTTGCTTGGCACATTGGTGCAAGGTGTTTGGCCATGCGGAATTTATGCCGGATCTGATCTATCCGTTTGTCAAGCATATGACCAAGAACAGCATGGTGGTATTTGAACTGTTGGTGACTCTATTGCTCAACCATTTGGAATTATGTTTTGAATTCCACCCCTTGCCGCCATGCAATTATCTGGCTATGTGCGAGAACGTGTTGCAGGTGCACGATAAGCAGCTGTCCAAGTTCTATTGTGCAATGGATGTGCAGCCAAAGGAATATGCCTGGCCGTTGCTTACCAGTGGCTTTGCCGAGGTGCTGGAAGAGCAGCAGTGGCTGGTGTTGTGGGACAACATCTTAACAAATCCTCCTTACTTCATTATATTCGTAGTTGTGGCTTATAATACGATGCAACGGGAGACCATTTTACGTTTGCCGGAAAAATCCGACGTGGTTTACTTCTTTCACGAACAGATGCCTATTGATGTCACTAAATGGCTGTCCCGTGCCTGTAAGCTAATGAACAATTGTGAGAGCAATGTGCATCCACAGCGTTTCATGCCACCCTTTGCGCCCATACCCAAGGGCGTCTATCCCAAGTTTCTGAAATATCCCAGGGAATGGATTGAGCAACAGGAGCAACAAAGTGTCGAGCTGATGAAACAGCAGCAGGAAATTGACGCACGCTTACGTAAATTGGAGCTGGAGGATATCAAAATTAAGGATCGTTTGCACCAGGGTCTCAAGCAGGAGGAACATGTACGTCGTCTCAAAGAAATGGAACAGCTCTACCAAGACACCATACAGCGCGAAGAAGAGCGAATTGTCTCTCAACGCAAAATTCTGCTTACCTATCAAATGGAGGCGCGACAGCGCAAAAGTCAGGTGTTGTCCAAGCTGCGGGAGTCAGAGCAACGTCGCATGATCTTGGAAATGGAAAAGGACATTGATGGACTAATGCGCAGTGTGGAGCGCGAGCGACGGCGTCGAAATCAAGAGATGCTCTTCGCCGAGGATGAAATACGCAATCAGGAGATGGAGCTAATGGTGCAGCGCTATACCAGTTGCTCACTTAATTCACCTTTGTCCGTGAAATATTACGAAGACGTGCAAAAAATGCGAAACGAAAGTGATAAGCTTAAGCGAAATCTGAAACAGGTAAGGAAGGGTATAATTCAAATGTATAGAATATATAAACATATATCGTTCTCTAATAGATGACCTTGGAGCAAGTGGAGCTTTGTAGGGAAGGACGAATATCTCTGCCAAATCTCTCAGCTATAGAAGATTCCATTCTTGAGATACAGCAAGAACTAACGGATATCTTGAATAGCGAGAACAGCAGTCAATAATCGGGGCAATCTGTATAGAAAAGAATCTAGCCATAATAACTAATATATGTTAAGTAATTTAACAATTTCCTTTTAATAATTACGAAATATTTCGTAACAAAGGCATAAGCATAAACATAATTAATTATACATCCAAATTGTGCATTATTAACAAATAAACTAATAAAAGTGTTCATATACAAATATATGCTTAAAAATATATAACATATATACATATGTATAAACATAATAGACATAATAGATTATTAATTATTATTATTAAATATAAATCATTGAATATATATATGCTCAAAATATCAAGCATAATGACGCTTTACGATTTATATATGCAACAAAATTATATTACCTAAACATATCTAAATCAAGCCATAGATTATTTAATTTTTAATGCGCTAATAGTATAATCGTGTTGAGCCTATCTGGAAATATGTAGAGCTGAGCTTTTAGCTCTTTTATATATTATACTATTTTACATAAATATACTATATATATATTTTTAAATATATATATAACAATCATATATGGGCATACAGTGTCGTGTATACCACGTGATGTAAACATATATTTTTAAAAATTTGATTGAAAACTACTTTTTATATATTTACAAACTTGATATTTAAAAAATATCCTCTTCTATTGTGACTGTAAACCTACTTTTGACCACGCGCTGCCTAGCTGCATATTTAAGAATCTATGTATACATTATATTATTTACAAGCAGCAACTATATAAAAGCTTACTTTTGATCCAGAGTCTGGCCAGGCACCAGCATCTTGGGCACATTGATGATCAGGTGTATGCTAGATGGCGGTATTTGCAGATGATTGCCAGTAACTAGTTGAGGAGAGAGAGAAAATTTGTTTATTTATTAAATCGTACTTGCTCCATTTAAGGATTCGCTTACCGTTCGTATTATTGTTGTTGTTGTGGCACTGTTGCAGTTCGCGCTCGAGTGCTGCAACACGTTCGTTCAGCTTGCGTATCTGTTGCAGTAGCTGGGCATTGTGCTCCTTTAAGTCTTTATGCGCATTGCGCATCTTGTCGCGATACCGTGACGCAGCTGCTCGACGTCGTTCCATGCAATCCTCGTTTCGTTTGATCGTTGCCTTTGCCCTGGGAGGCGATGTAAAACTGCGTTGCTTTCGATTACTGTTGTTGCTGTTGTTGAGTATCGCTTTAAGGCGTTCCTTGATGGGTAATTGTGATGTAGGCGTTAGACTAGCACTGCTCGGTTCATTGACTGGCATTGTATTGTGTGTTATAATTCCTGTTGTAACTTTGTTATGGCCAGCTATGCTGGGCTTGGGTAAGATAAAGGGACGTACTGTTTGCTTAGAAGGCACTGGTTTGCTTATGGTGTCAGGTATTGTAGTAATGGGTAACGTTTGCGCTGGCAGCACCCACGTGATCACAGGTGGTTGTATTAGCTGCAATGGAGGCGGACCTTGAGCTTCTGCTGGGTCGGGTCCTACGGCAGGTGTAGCCAACAGCTCCTCCACATGAGCAACAGGCACATCCAGCGGACTGCTATTTTGTCTAGCTGTCTGATTCGCTGCAGTCATTGTTGTTGCCTCTAAAGGATAAACCTGAGGCGTGTGCAGTGAATCGCCATCCGTTGCAGGCGCTTCGGTACGTATTGGTGTCTCCGGCGCCTTGCCTGCCACTGCATTTTGTTCGGCTGCCCTCTGAAATCCTATGTCAAAGGGATTCACATGCTGAAGATCATCAAACAGACCCACTTCTTCACAGTTTTTGATGAGACGCGTTGGCGTTGGTGTTTGATCTGTTGCAAAGAGCTGCTCAGACTTTTGACCCAGCGACAAATCGAGTGTCATATCATGTTTAGATTGGCATTGTCCATAGCTATCAAAATTTTCATTGCCATCGTTAGTTTTCGTTTCAAAGGCAGCAAACGAAACATCTGTCATATCCGCAATATTTGCATCTGTTTCCATTGCAAGAATTCATTTAATAACAACTGAGCCAAAACAATAACAAAAGTTGTTGCACTCATGCAAAACTATCGAGAACTGCGGCGGCTAGTCGATAACTCATTGAGTTTCTAGTGTGTAAAGCATTGCAATTAGGCAGTGTTGTTCAACACTTGCAGGACAAATCAAATTTTTCGTTACAATTCAAAATGTGAGTGGGAGAAATTCATAATGATTTTTGCACATTTGTTATTTGTATTTAAATTAAATTAAATATTTTTATCAATTCGAAAATTTGCTTTACCTTCTTATATACGCATCTTTAAGTTCCATTATTTTATTCCAATTGCTTTTGTTAGTTTTGACCCAAAAAACTTTGACATTCAGCACTTCCGACATGTTCGTATCGCCTGGCTGGCATCTGAATTACTGGCGCGTAATTCGAACCTTTTCACAGCACGTAGACGCAATCATAAAAAAACGAAAAAAAAATTACGAAAACATTTTTGGCAATAAAGAAAACCCCATAATTTAAAATTTTGTATCTTTTAAATTAGATTTAAAGGAAGTGAAAAAAAAGAAGAAATCAACAAACAACAAAAAGACACGCAAAATGTTTTTGGAAACGCAACACGCAACAAGTAATTTTCTAAAACTCTGGGACGTATTTTTTATTTCTCACAGAAAAAAAATACGAAAAACAAAAAAAAAAACGCCACAGCATCCAAGCCCAGCTAACAACATACTTGTCTTGTCTTGTGGGTCAAGTTCAGTGTCCAAATCCTCTGCAGCTTCCCAGCCAAAATGGTGGGGCCCACCACCACTACCACCAGCACCAGCAGCATCACCACCAGCAACAGACGAGGAAGATGCACAGCATGAAAATTAAGAAAAAGTGATGCGTAATTACAGTCATTCTCTTTCACTGCAGCAAACGGGCAGCGATTCCCGATCTTAAAGCCAGGCTGGGGTTGAGTCTGCTGCTGAGGTGGACCACTCGACTATGTTGCATGCAACACACAGACGCGGTTTTTGGACAGCCATGGCCATGGCCGACACCGCCGCCGCCGCCACTGCCGTCGCTGTTGCTGTTGCTGCTTGCCGGTAGAAACAATCAGTTTGAAGTTCGTTCGCATAATTATGGGCAATTTTCAAAGAACATGCGTTCCGTTGAACATCCTTCTCTCGCTCTCTATCTATCTCGCTTTCACCCATTGCTATTACTGCTCGCATTCAAAGTATCTTTAGTTGGCGCGCCATTTCTGCGGCTCCATATGCAATCCATTCGGATACATTTTCAAAAGTTTTGCATTTGTTTCGCCAGATTTGAAAATTACAGGTTGTCCTCGCTGCAGCGACCAAACTAGTGACAGAGCACAGATATGTAGCAATATATGGGCATTTGATTTGGCAACTGCCAGGACTTGGGCCAGGTGATTGACTTCTTGGCAGGCTCGCATAATAACTCATAACGGCATTAAGCATGTGCAACGCGCAACGTGCAGCGTTCAAGGACCTGCAACCCTCTGTTTTGCATTTTACATAAATATTCAAAAGCAGCCCCGAAAAATGCATAACAAGCCACATCCTGCACATCTTGACTTTGCCTTCAAGAAATTCCTAGAACGCCTTCTTTAGCTTTTCGACAGTTTGTTTGTTTTTGTATATTTGCCTAGCGGGCTTGTTGCATAAATTTATTTGTTTTTGGTTTTTTTTTTTTATTTTTTAACAGTTGCAGGGGAAAACAACCTGCTTGACTGAACTTGGCTCTATATGTGTATAAGATCTGTTTTATATAAATAAATTCGTATTGCAGTTGACTCTTTTTCATATGACTTAAAGTTCTTTTATATAATTCACTTTATGCAAGTATATGTTTATTCAACAGACAAGTTTAATATATACATATAAACTCTTTTCTTTTCCAAACAAATAATAAAGATTCATATAGTTTTTTGATTTTATGCAACTTCCTGCGCCGCGAGCGCTTCCTGTTGCACACAGAAACCGAAATCAAAATCGAAATGAAATAAAAATGAAAAAGTCAAATTTTGCTTTTCCGACGGCAAGTCAAGACGTTGTATATATAGACATATCTCGTATCTATAATAATTTTTAGCTGTATATTTCACATACATTTCGATGGCGCGGCTTTGGAGTCAAACTCGGCGCTCAATAATAATTTCATAATTATGGGTTATCTGGCAGTCGCATTCGTAAATAAAAAGCCAAACGGCAAAAAAGGCGGCAAGAATACAAAAAAAAAATGAACGAGAAAACTAAAACTTTATCACTGAACTGTTATTGCTGTTGTTGAGGTTCTTGCAGCGTGCCCGAGATTGATTGTCGCTAATGGGCGTGATGTGGCTGCGATTCAAGCGATTCCAGTGAAAAGCTCTACAATCGCCAACCAGTGGATGTACAGATACAGATACTGGTACTAGCTGAGATACAGATACATATATTAGTATACTTAAGTGCAGATAGATACAACTTTAAAGATGCAGATGCAGATACATTTACTAGCTAAGATATAAGTTCAGTTCAAGATACATAGATGCAGCTTTATCTACAACTAATGGTAAATATACATACATACATATAATACTCAGATATGCATAGATAAAGATATATGTAGATACATATACGGCTACTTCTAAGAATATACATAAATCGATGCAGCTACAGCTTCTGCTTGAGGCACAGATAGAGTTTTGTGTACTTAAATTCTGGTATATCTTTAGATAAAGCTAAATAAAGCACAGATACATATAAAGATTCAAAGACTGCTTCAATAATAGACATTGCTATATTTAAAGATACTCAGTTACACAGATGAGGATGCATTTATATTAATGTAGCTACAGCAACTAGTCAAGGTACAGCTTCAGTATCAGATACATCTTCATATATATGCACAGGTGCTAGCTAAATAAAACAGATACATAGATTCAGCTGCCATTAAAGGTAGTTTGATACACAGATACCCATACAGCAACATATAAAGATACTCAAAATCACATACAGATACAATTTTAGCTACAACTACTGTTTCAGCTACTTTCAATGATACGCAGATACAAATGCAAGTACTATATACAGATACATAGATGCACTTACAGCTACATGTAACGAAGCTCAAATTCAGATACAGACACAAGTTCAACTACTTCTAAAGATACTTTAATACCGATTCAGCAATATCTAAACATACTCATACATTGTAAAGATACAAATACACATACAGCTCTAGTCACTTCGAAAGATACACAGATACAATTACAGCTACAGTCACTGGCTAAGATACAGCTAGAGCTAATAGTTAACACACAAAGACAATAGCAACATCAACTTGAGTTACAGTGGGGTAAAAGGTAATTGTTTTAATTGCCCTGCTCAGGCCGAAAGTAGATCAGGCGGCATTAGTTTTAAGTCAAGCTGGTTATATAGGAAGTCGCTATCGTCAGGCCCGCAATTAATTGCGACCTTGACCATATAAAAAAAGGCGCGCAGCTCTAGTTTTCGTATCTTGTGGCTTATATCTCTTACAGCTTCGCTCATCTAACGGTATCTAAGAGGAGCAAACTAAAAATACACAGAAAATGTTTATGATTTTTAGCTCGTGCGGCGAACGCGTCAGTCATGGCGATCATCAACATAAAATCCCAAAAACAAGAAAAAAATAAGTCGAAAGGATGCCGACGTGCAAAAGAAAGAGCTGACATAGAGCTGGAGCTCGGGCTGGAGCCGGAGCTGGAGCTGGAGCTGAAGCTGTTGCTGCGACTGCGTCTGCGGCTTTTGTTGAACTGTTGGCGGCACTCATCACGCCGTGATTCGCAAGATGATGGATTGCGTTCACTTTTGATGTATCTGCCACTTTCAGCTCACAATTTAATGCCACGTCCAATGGGGCGCTGCCTAATTGCTTCACTGTGTGCGCCTCTGCTTCAGCCCCTGTGCCTGCCACTGCCTCTACCGCGCGCATCATTTCCATTTCCGTTAAGGCCGCCGGGCAGTTGTCGCCCAACCCAAGCAACCCGTCTTGGCCAACGCCTGGTATTTGATATTAATTCGATATCAACAGCAAAATCAAATGTTAAGCAAACTTTCGGTTTTTTTTGTATTTTTTTTAGTTTGAGTTAATTTTTTCAACTAAAGTTTTTGGTTTTTTTTTGCTTTTTCTTTTTTTTGCTGCCTGCCGCGCCGCAGTTTTGAGCATATCCTGTGCTCGCGGCGCATCCTTCGCTTGCCCCGCCAAACATAATTGGCGTCTGGGGGCGTGGCAGTGCCCAGGCCCGCAGAAAAAGACTTGTGTCTAACATGCGCCAAGGCCTGCATTTCGTAGCATTGTGAAGTTGCCTAAAAAGAGCCCCAAAGCCTTTTTCTTCAAACAAGGGACATGCGCTCTAAGCACAGTGGGCCTCACCTAGGCGCGTAACGGTATCAAATACGAGTGTGCGTATGTGTGTGTGCGTGTGTGTTTATGTATGCATGTTTAATTGCCAGTTGTTAGATATGGGTCCCTTTTCCAAGGAATTCAAAGGAATGCGAAATGCGTCATGCGATATCCAAAGACTTTTTGTTTATGTATTTTTAAGTTAGTATATATACCTATATCACAGCTATGTTATCATTGTAAAACATGCAAGCAAAACTATTTGGACAAACAAAGAGAATATTCAAGCTAAAACATCAACGAACACGATTTCCTCTACGCAAAGGGTGTAAAGAAAAAACAAAAACTTACTTAATTGCATTTTCGCTAATGAATTTTCGGGAACCATAACGCTTTAAGATCAATGTATATGTATAGCTATATGTATATGGACATATGTTTGTTCTTCTTCTGCCTGTTAGCTGCTTCAATCATTAACCCAAAACTTAAGAAACTGTCAAAATTCATCAATGAAACGTGCTGAGAGAAAGACAGCTGGACAGACCGCGAGCCGGATGGACAGACAGTGAGACAGAGAGAGGGAGAGAGAGACGTTGTCTGTCGTTAGAGTTTGACCCCCAGCGCCGACGAATCCAGTTAGAAACACTCAATTAATTATACAAAGGTCGTCTTTGGGGCACAACAGATTCGAAAACATCTGCCAAACGAAGCGGTGAATGCGACTCAGCTAAAGGTTTGCAATTCCATTTCCCAACTAAGCTGTCATTATATATATATATATATATATATATATATATATATATATATATATATATATATATATATATATATATATATATATATATATATATATATATATATATATATATATATATAGATATATAAGTATCTATAGGATAAGCCATGTTTTTCAAGACCAAGAAAATGGAGTTGGTTTAGTTAATGATTCTAGCTGAAATGTTTCGATGACTGGATCAAAACTATAAACAGAGTGTGGCCTATTCAAACGGTCTAGAGTTCTGTTTTTGAGGTGTCAAAATAATTTGAAAAT